AAACTCATGCTACTTGCGTCCATGTAGACGCACTCGAAAGGATTACCTACATAATATGTATCTACATTTAATTCGGCAGGTATTATGTATTCATTCGGTACGTAAATTTTTCGCGCTCGTGATCACGAATAGATGATTAAATTATGCATATTGCACGCCGGATATACATACACAAACACAAAGAGAGAAACGACTGCGGTTGGCGCATCCGTATGTGAGCTACCGCATCCTTTTGTGCTTTTCTTTTTTCTTTTTTTATTCAGCATCCGCCGCCGCGTTGCCCACTTGAAACGCGATGCATTTTCATTGCGCATACACATTGTAAGTGTACAAGTTTTTACGTTTGTAATTATTTTTTTAATTGCCCAAGAGTATCGTTTGGATAGTTATAAGCGCACGTGCATCCGTAAAGCGCGCCAAGACAGTCGCGCAGTTGATTGAAGCATGCGTAGACGTTTGCGGGGGATGCTGGTCTCGTTACCTGCATGCATACATATCGCGTACACATAATCGCGTCACGGACTCTCGATTCGCGAGTGGAGCTATACTTACACGTACACTGCACGCGGCGCAAGCAGCAAATGCATGCGTGCGCAGATATACGCACGTGCGTCATACACGCGACGATGCGCGCGTACTCGATATTTTTATTCATTGAAAAGAGGCAAAAAGAGAGAGTACGGGTGTACGTGTGTGTATCGTATACGCAGAAGGGGAAAGGGGGATCACCCCTCCTTGTTAAGGAGACCTTTCGAGGAGTCGCAGCAGCGGCAAAATTATAAGGTGCAGCGTGTGTGCAAGTATGCATATAAGCGAACGTGCGATAATACAACGATTTATGCGCCAGGCCGATTGTTTATGCTTTGCGTTATGCTTTAATAATAACATAAATACATAGCTGTTGGCGCTCGACTAAAGAAGTGAGGGGGGAGAGAAAAATGAGAAAGTTCCATTTAATACAGATCGGCATCGGGCGATATCCCGACGCGATTAAATGCCCATGGATCTAAAAACAATCGTGTCGGAACTCGGGTGATAAACTCAAACGCATAAAAGTGCTCGAGCTTCGATACGATGGAATACGCGCGGACGCACGTAGACCTCCCTATTACGCGTGTCCTAATTCAGCGCGCGAGGCAACGCGAGCGAAGACTCGAAAGAGGAGTTGCGGCGCGTGCGCGCGCAGAGGAAAACCGAGCGAAATAAGATAAAACGCAAACGATCCGCAACAACGGATGTTTTGCTGCTGCTGCTGCTGCTACACATTTTGCGTCATTCCGCGCGAGAGCAATCATTTCCACTTTCCATGTATACATCGATATATGTGAATATAGCGTCGACTGTTATTAGTCGCAAACATAAAGAGGCTTTCCCGATTCACAAAGAGTCGTATAATATATTATATTGCACGCGCGCGTGCGAGCACATGCACGCCACGCAACGTTCCTTCTTTTTCGAGTTTTTCCTTTTTTATTCTCTCTCGATCGGACGAGCGGGAGAGAGAGAGAGAGAGAGAGAGATGAAAAAACCTGCTATCGAGCGAATTTTTTTTCCAAAGCCGAGTGAATTGCGACTGAGTCACGAAGATTCCATCGACCGATGGTACATACGCTATGTACCGGTCACATACATAAACCGCCGATAATTAGAAATCAATTTGATGCTAATTACTGTTTATAATGCATATATGATGTATATTAGGTGTGACGTACGTTATATTATAGCGTAGATGTACATCGTTTCTCGCACGTGTATAGTGTGGCGGCCGAGCGAAAGAGCCTCGATGATCTTGTCTCGAGTCGCACATATTTGAATTTATAATGATATCTCGTTGGCCATTAGAAGAGTAAGAGATTCGAGCAGATTTTTCAGCGCGACTATGCCACTTTACGTATATTTCATACATATATACAAGAGGCTCGTTACGCATAGTTCTCGTTTGCTCCAACGCGTCTTTTGGTGGAATATAATTATACACTCGCACACAGACGTATACACACATTCGTCGATCGAGTCTGGCGACACAGACGACGAAAAAGAAAAAGAAAAAGAGCCGCAATTAACGTGTTCTTGACCTGAAAAATTACGACCAATTAACAAATATTATGTGCGTGTGTCTGTGTGGCAGAACGTTCTCGTTGCACTGTGTGCACTGTCCGCGTACTCCCGCGCTGCACATTTTTACAGCGACGATTTATCGACGGAAATTGTGTTTTTATAATCCCTTGCAATAGCATAAATGATAAGTACGCGAGTGCGACGATCGAGAGCAGCAACTTTGTAAGTCCACGTAGGCTTCGTTCTATTTCTGTCGAATGGGAATAAGTTTCATAAAGAAAAAAAAAGTAATAATAAGGGCGCCCCGAGCAATGGATAATTACAACCCTGGGTAAATAAGTGCTACTAGCACTGCGCATACACACACAGAGCGGCGATTCATCGGTATCATCAATCTCCCATAAAGTCGCCTTTTAAAAATTTCTTTTTCTTCGCGTTAAACTTCTCTCTCGCTCTCCCGCTCGTATGTGTGTGCACACATTACACGCGCACATAGCTCGCGGGGGCCATTTTCATTTGTGCAGTAATGCACGCGAGAGAGCATTTATACGCGCGTACGTATACTGTATGTACTGTACGCGCGCGAGCATCCATAAGCGCCTCGCGACTCCAAACGAGACTTTCTCGCGTTTAACATTATTATGACGCACGCACGCACGAACGCATGCGAACGAGCGCCAACGTGCGCGCGAGATACTGCACTCTCGAGTGCATCATCGGAAAGTATGATGGCCAGGCGCGATTGTGTGCGTTCGTGCGTATACGTGCGTGTGGATGCGTGGACGCGGTTGAACCGGCGAACTCGCGCGCCAAACAACATGCATATACGATTCTCAACTCTTTCCTTTACGCGCCTGCGATGATTTTTCGAGAAAAGTTTTAGCTTCGCATCTGCTGTGTCTCTTTGCACTTTTTTCCTTCTTTTGCTTCGTCTTCTTTTGTTGATATCTTTTTTTCTTGTTTTTGCCTCGAAGTCACGTACAGGATTTATCGGTGCCTCTCGTCTCTCAACTGCTGTATTGTAACGTATCAATGAGCGATTTACAATTAAAGCGAACGTCGCGCACGTCGAGTTTTGGGCGATTCGAGTTCCGCAAAAGTTTCATCTCGTGTTTTACCAATATATATTATAATCAATGTCAGAGTAGTCGAGAGAATCTCCGATTCAGACGTTGATAACAAAAAAGAGACGGATCCGTGATGTTATACATTCGATTAAATACCCGCTCAGTTTTTAATCACCACCTCGCGTGCGATCATCCCACGGAAATAATCAATAAATACGAGTAGGATCTAGACGACATCTTTTTTTTATTTTATTTTTTTTTCGTTCTCTTTAATTTTTGCGCGAAAAAAATTACACATCGATTTGCCAAAAAGAAAAAATTTATTTTTAATGATCACTCTTAATGGTTTTTTTCTCCCTCTCTCTCTCTCTCTCTCTCTTTCCTTGCTAAACCTCGTAGTGACGTCAATGGACGATCGCGAGGCGAGCGTACAGCGTATAAGTGTGAGAACGTTGTTAAACGATAAAGTATGTCGATTCTCGCTCGGGCTTTTCATCGTAAAACGGGCAACATCGACCGATGCCGATGTATACATATATTCACGCGCATATGTTTAAAATGCGCACATATTATATGCACACACGTGAGCAGCGAAATTGTAGACATTCGCGCGCGGATTCGGCTAAAATGCGCCGCAACGAGAGAGATGTCGGAGAAGCAACTCGAGAAACTTAAATCCATTATATACAAACGAAGCTAGAATTCCGGAAAGCCTCTTTCAGCAAAATATTATTTTATTTTATCGCGAATTGTCGTTAGCGTGGCCACGTCGGTGAGGTTTGCCAAGATCAATGACCTCCCACGCTCGCGCACACTAGCACTCGCTCCCAGCTTGACCCATGCTATAAGACTATTAGCGGTATTAATAACGTTACATATGTGTGTAATGTTACATATTAGGTTGTATTGCGAGCGAAAAAAAAGATACGAAAGTTCGAAAAAGCCCGCAATCGATACAACTGTCGAAGTCAAGCAAAACAAAATAATGTTCTTTCACTCAGACCAGTGACATTTGAAAAAATCGTTGCAATTATATTTCGGGTTCTTGCAATCTATATAGAACGCATAGATTCGGAAGGAGGCACGCACTTTACTGTATGGGATATCTGCTGCACGAGAGAGAGAGACAGAGAAAGAAAGAGATATTGTACTGCATCCTGTACGTCATCGGTCGCGCGAACGCACACCGGAAGAGTATCATCCTGCCTTCTCTCTCTTTCTGCGGCTTGATATACGCCCCGATATAGTCACGACAAAATAATACGCACGACGCGTATCAAAAACTCTCGGTATATCATATGCTAAAAACAATTAATATTAGCGCGAAATGTTTTCGTGTATACGATTCGCGCGCTAAAATTTTTCACGAAATCGAGTTTGAAAGCCTCGTTGACTTTCGTTGAAAAATACGGAGAGAAAAAAGTCACCGTCTCGCACATGTGTTGGTGTATTATAAAAAAAAACGTGCATGCGACATCCCGCACGTTCGCAAGATACATGATTCGCGCGAATTTATAATATTAAGCGACGATCTAATCGAATCAGCGTAACGCAATTGCGACGCGATAATTGTGAAAGCTATTGTGAGTGAACGTACGCTCCATGCGGGTATGGGAGGAGAAAAAAAAGCAGACACTCGTAAGATCATTGCGACACTTGCCATATATAAGTTTTCGCTGCGTCGGTGCATTTTAAGCTCCAAACGAATGTGTATAAGCGCTCAAAGTATACATATTACTAACACATACATTGAGAGATGCAAAAGTCAAGCAGATAAAAAAAAATTAGGTTAAAATTGACGTGAAATCAAAAGAGAAAAGACGAAGCTTGATTACGAATCTACGAGAGTAGGTATTGTAATGTAAAGATACGAACCTTGTTGAACTGCAAGAGTCGCTGGTACTGGTCGACGGCCGTCAAGCACATACGAGTAGTGAATGCCTCCATTCTAGCTGGCAAAGGTGCGTGACACACGCTGCTAGACATTTTTCATGTGTTAGTGTGCAGCCTCTCGTTCCTTCGCGATATGCGTCGTATGTGTATCTAATAATCGACTACACTATATGCAAGTAAAAGTCGGAGTCGACCTTTAACACTTTGGTTTTGTGGAAGTTTGCTTTGCTCGGGCAAAAACTTGGTTCAACACAATTTAGCGAACACACACACTTTCGGAACGTGCGTAGCTTATTCGGAGCTGTTGCTGCTGCTGCCGTTTTTGCTTTCTCTCCTCTTCCTCGTCTATTATGTTCATTATAGGAACGCCGCTGCTGCCACGCACTGACTCGCGTTTACGACAAGTATTTGCACACTGAAATATCAATGCAACAACAGGCGAAACAAAAAGAAGAAAGAAAGAAACAATCACTTGAGAGTAAGTAAATATTATAAATCACTCGAGCAATGTATGATAGATACAGTCACAAGATCGATGCTCTCTATAAGGTAAAAGACAACACTTGCACCGTCGCGGGATGATAAATATTCATAGTCGTCGTCCGGCCGTGTGTAAACTTGCGGCGTGCATTGGACCCGGACTGCGGTTACGTGCGTGTATAAAATTGTGCACGAATGTGCCTCGGTCGCGCGCGCGTTTCTGTCGACGAGCCGAGAGCCAACGGTACACTGAAGCTTCCCCTCTCGCTGGCGACTTGTTTTATCGAGCCGCTGCTGGTAGTAGTGGTAGTGGAGGTCCGTGCGAATACGAAGCGGCTATACGGCGGCACGCAGAGGCTCATAACCTACTACTGCTACTATACTCTACAGGCTACAGCACAGCATTATATCCGCACACATACACACACACTTTCTTACAAGTTCCTGAACTTTTGCCGCGCCAATTTACATCGTGCGTCGTCGTATAAGCTTCTCGACAATAGCTACGATTCCCATTTGGATTTTTACGAATCATCAGGATTTTTTACTTTCGTAAGAGAAAAAATCTACCTCTAAATCGTATTTATCCGTGTAAACAATGTAATATTTCCCGATTCAGTCTGGCGGACTATCGCGTTTTGTTTCTCGGATTTTCAAATTTTTGGCTGATGCAAGGAACTCGACGTGTGGCGCACGAAAATATTAAGCCATCATAGCATAGGCTCACGATTTTATTTATTTATTTATTTATTTTTTTGCCTTATCGACGTTCCGTTATACTTGTAAACTCGAACGCGTACTTTGGCGTATCGTCGTTGGAGCGTCGATAAGGTTTTAAAAATAGAGACGCATTTTGCGCTTGTAAGCCGAGTATCAAAACAAAAGACTCGAGTCATGCAGAGCACGCGGGCGCAATAATTTTCGCGTGCGCACACATGAGCCAGGGAGATTAACCCCGCTGATAAGCAAAGACGATCGTCTCGTCTGCGTAGCACTTGATTGCTTTTCCTCGACTGTTCTTCTTCTTCTTCTTTCTATTTCGTGGCCGAGAACTATCCGAGACAAAAAAACTTCTCGAGGTGTCAGAACGAAACTGGAGCTCAACCCTTTTTCTATTCCCTTGCGCGCGTGCTGGTTCTGATATTATTACGAAAAGTTTCACTGTTAACGTGAATGCTTAATTACCGATGGTATTTTTCAAATTTTAAGTTGTTTTGAACTGTGCCGGGACTCCGGGAACTACGCACGCAGCCTAATTTCACAATTTTCTACATTGTTTTTCTTCTATTTTTTCTTGTATCCTCTCAACGGTTACCTTAACGTAGACTTTCCACGTAGCAAAATTTCATTGACAAAAAATCAAATGGTAAATAACATAACCGGAAGTAGATCGCATAAGGTCGTCTTGCGATATTTCGTCGAAGTCGCTTCGTGTGCCGGACGACGCAACTTCCCTTTTTCTTTTTTCCCTTTTCTTTCTGCACAGCATCTTGCAAACGCCAAGAGTAAAAAAGAAGAGAGACAACGTTGGTTCACTTATATGGAAGAAGTAGGTGCTGATAAGCTTCGTTTACACATACGCATATATACTTCCACTGACCCACATTCGACGTGCGCACATACTCTCGCATTGCCTAACTTTTAAACCGACTCTCTCTCTCTCTCTCTTTCATTGTCTCTCAAGCAGAGGATAATTATATTGATCTCAGAAATCTTTTTTGATAAGCTTTTTAATTTTTTACTCGCAGAACTGATCATCTGAAAGAAAAAGCTCTGAAGTCAATTAAGCATTTGATGAATAATGATGAGTTGATTTACTTTTTGTGCCAAGCGTTTTGCAGCTCTCACATGATTATGAGAATTTAAATGCCAGAGTCAAAATAACTGGATTATGTACCGCATTATTTGTCTAATTCACCGCAGATGGGATGAAGATTAACAAAATCAATAAAAGCGTCAGTTGCTTGTGAATTTTCAGGCTCGTTTTATTGCGGGTAAATATTTTGATTGGGAACGAAAACGATAAAGTAAACTGCTCACAAACGTATGCAAATTGTTTTCGACGAGTTGATGCACCGTAAAAGTTGGCAAACATTTTCTGAGCTGTATATAGCGACGAAGAAATAGGTAAAGCTTACAACGATTGTTCGCTAATCGATGTCAGCGTAAACGACATAAAACAGCCACAGCAGCCGCAGTAGCAGCACGAGCATCTCAAAAAAGCTAATCGCAAGCACGTCGTATATATATAATACCTCGTACGATCGCGATCGTCGCGACTGATTCATTAGCTGGCAGTGCATATATGTGTTTGTAATCGACAACGGCCATCGGGTTACTATAACACGTAACGGTATAATGGTGCCGGCTAGACTCGCACCGACCGATAGCGATTTTCGCTCGAGCTACATGCACATAATTGCGAATGTGGCATATACAGTTCTCGCTCGCGCGACTATTCAAATGAACTAATCCGTTATGGGTAATGGTACATAATGATACCATGTATGCGCCAAATTGTTGAACACAAATACCTGATTTTCATTGATTGAGAAACGGGTTAGCCACTCTACCGGACGGTCAAACTCTCAGACTTAAGACACCTGCAAAGGCACGAACGAGATCACCCCAGCTGACTCCCGTTCGCCATTACCAGTTACGACTTCATCAAGTCCAATCTCAGAAGCTTCTAATGCACGTAAAAAACAAAAACGAAGGAGTTGTATGGGTCTGCAAAGGATATGGATGTTCTCAACGATACTATGAGACAAGTATTGAAAAATTCTACGCACGGTAACATCCCTAATACCGGAGCTTTAGTTCGACTCGGATAATAAGCATTTTCAGCCTCGGTTCATTTTTGGGTTGCAAGTTTTTGCAAGTTCGCCACCTAGTGGCTTGTTTACATATTATATAAATAAACAAAAAGTGTGCGCTGCTGTTATAAAAGCGCAGCATGTAAGAATATGTACAGACGGCAGTGGCCTACTAGCATACGAGAGTGCGACGGTATAGTTTTACGTCATTGCGTACGCGCGTCTGCATCTATAGATGTATATTATAACGGTTCGCGCATGCTAACCTTAGCCAATGTGCGTATGTGTGTGTGTATGCGTATAATATACAGAGTCGAATGCGTGAGGCTCGACGCAAAGAGACTCTTTCATGCTAACGCAAATATAATCCGAGCGTGTTGATGGGATTTCTCGCTAACTTATGATCGACTGCGGTGACTATGAAACGATATAATTCTGAAAAGTAAACCTGAAGTTATATGAAATCCGAGACACAATATTTTAAAAAAAAATTTTTTAAGTGGACCACCTTAATACTCTGCCCGTCAATCACTTTTGTTATACTTGAGCGAAAAATCTTTAAAGATGCTCAAATCAGACTTTTAAAAAAATCGTTCAAATTTCTTCCCAAGTATTAAATAGAAAATTACAAAGTGTTCTTCCTAGGGGGGAAACAATTAATATAAAAGTTTTTTTGTTGAACTGGTGGACGTTCATTTTTAACTAAGTTAGAGCTATAAAAATTTTAAGTTTCAAATAAAAAACGTTATACGTATTTTTCTTATAATTACTTTCAGATTCACAGATGAAGGTACTCGTCATTTAGAACGCTTAAATTGGTATTATTGTATGTAAAGATTATTTTCTAGTTATAGTATGCTAAATTGACGTTAACTCAGGTATACAATACAGTGAGTGACCTTCCAATTTTAGTATAGGTTTTTGTATCGACATCTAGGGTTATACATTTTTCAAACGAAGTTGAGCCTTCATTCTACGAAAAAAATTTAAAAATAATTTAAACAACACTCTAATAAACTCAAGGACTTAATCTTGAAGAGTGAGAGCTATCTCCAATAGATCGTTTGCGTGCGTAATACGGTCTATACATATTACAGAACGCGAGAATTGGCCTCTAATTTTAGATTCGGCTGCATTATTTTCTTTTCATATTTTTTTTTTAACACGAATCGTGCGTAAGATATGATTCGTGGGAAATATAAAAAGAAATTGCACGAAAAAATCTAGCCTACACCGCGAGGTAAAGGTGCCACAGGTATTACTATAGATATTATACTGACGCGCAAGTGATAATCGCGCATAATCCAGAGGGTCTTGGCATCGAAGTCGCGCCCGCTCACATATGCATACTAATCTTTTCCGCGAAGATGCGTAGTAATGTTATATTTATTTATTTATTCTATGTGTTGATGTACTGCGAACTGGCGCGACCCGAGCTGAGCGCATGCACAGGTACTCGTTGCATTTATTGCACATCGAGGAAAATCAAAGTCGCACGTAGGTACGTCAGTAATAAGGGGAAAAGGAATAAAAGAAATGACAAAAGTGTGTATATAATCGTGTCAACAGACATTTCCCGTTAAGCTCGCCACGCGGTCGTTAATCCACATTGTTTGTCACGATCGGGCCGGGACTCGACTCTCGTAGCGCTGCATCATATAATTAAGCACATTTATAAATATACGTATACTAGGGGGGCTCCGCCCCCCTGCTCGCTCCGCTCGCCAACCCCCCGATTAAGTTTAACCCTCGAATGAAAAAAATAATGATATTTATGGCACGCTAACCTAAAATTCGCAACTTCGCCGCTACTTTTAGGCTTTTGTACCATAAAATATTGTATGCAACTGATACGGATATGCTTTTCCAACGAAACTCGTTACAGCCCTCGCCTTCGGCTCGTGCTGCAACCCCTCGTTTCGCTGAAAAAGTATATCCGTACCCGTTGCATAAAGTACTATTTTAGTAATAAAACGGTCAAGTATTTTATTGATGAAAAATTAAAAAAAAATAGTCAGTAGGAAAATACATTTTTGGCTATATTTATCTAGGCTATATTATCCGGGAGCGGGCTACCTTCCCGTAGAAAACTGTAGGTGAATGGTTAGAATAAGGTGTTATCGATCAATTTTGACGCACGAATTTGATGGTTAATTTTAGCTCTGAGTGGTACCATATCGTCAAAAATCCATTTGTTTAATTAAATTATCAAAATGGTCGAATATGGATCTTTAAACATCATGTTCGTGTTCTACCAAAAATTTTTTTAGAAAAATGTTCCTTGTGATTTTTCTCTAAAATGCATATTTATCGAGTTATAAGCCAATGAAAATGAGAAAAACGCTAATTTCGAGATATTCGATTGCGTGTAATAACATGAAAAACAATATTTTCGATGACGTGAGCGCTTTTTATTATTCTTCGGACATCTCTATGCAAAGTCTTGTAGTTTTTTTTCAAGATTTCTAAGGATTACCTAACGATAAATATGCATTTTAGAGAAAAATCACAAGGGACATTTTTTTCTTAAAAATTTTCTTAGAATACGAATATGATGTTTAAAAATCCATATTCGACCATTTTAGTAATTTTTTTAAAAAAATGGGTTTTTAACCACATGGTACCACAGCGAGTCAAAATCCATCGATAACACCTTATTCTAATCATTTACCTATAGTGTCTTACGGGAAGGTAGCCTGCTCCTGGACTGATAGTATAACGACAGGATTTTTTTTTGATTTCTTGGAAATTTTTTGTTGTTTATTATAAAAGTACCTACACTGAGAAAAAAAATTCATTGATTCAATGAAACGTTTAATTGAATACAATCTATGAAATAATTCATTCATCCAACAAAATATTTAATTGTTTTCATGAAACTTTGGTAAAAACAATTAAATATTTTGTTGGATGAAATAAAAAAAGATTATTTCAATGAAATTATTTCATAGATTGTATTCAATTAAACGTTTCATTGAATCAATGAATTTTTTTTCTCAGTGTATGTATAAAAGTACCTTTGTATTATTATACGTGACATACGTTATTGTTATAAAAATATCTGTCACATATACGGTGGATTTACGGTGGAGGAGCAGTGGAGGAGCAGTGGGGGAGCAGTGGGGGAGCAGTGGGGAGCAGTGGAATTTTTGGGGAGCAGTGGGGGAGCAGTAATAATTTGTACGGAGAAAAACACGGAAAATCATGTAAAAATCACGTGAATTTCACATTTTTGAAAAAATTGTGGGGGAGCAGGTGGAAATTTTGGGGAGCAAGCGAACCACATCCTCTCTACTATATAGTAATAGATATTAGTAGGTTGGCTCTGCTGTGGCTGCTTATCTGTGATTTTGCATAATTTTTAGGAAATAATATTTTGTTGATCCGTTCGTATTCGAAGCTGTATAAATACGTGCGTTTACGTTTGATATATGTGGGCGTTGCAGATAGTTGAATTTTTATGCAAAATAATTTGACATAGGTATTATTATAAATTCGAGTGATAAAACGGTCTACATTTTATTATCGCAAATACATTGACAAACGACACTGGAGAGCAGTATTAATCGGAGACTTTGTATATTACATAGGATTAGTTCGTAGGTACTTTGATTACTGTGATGTGTCTCTCATGTATTGCTTACGCGTAAATAGTATTACGTTAAATATTTGGACGGTGAAATTCTCTATATATCAATGCTTTATACTCGTAATCGATGGATATAGCTAGAATATGTACAAGCGATACGCATGTCGTTCATTTGCCATCGATTATTCGAAGAGAAAGCATCATAGTCGCGTTTACTTGTGTGAAAGATCGTTATAATTGTGAGGCCCGCAGCATTTTGTGTCTAATTGATTTGGATTAATTACGTGAAGTAAAGATTTGTTAATTGTAGTAGCGTCCGTGTCTTTGGTCCACGTGTGTTATTTTCCTGTATTTGTTTTATTACATCAAATAATGTCTAAGCGGAAGAGAGATACCATCGAGGAATTCGCTGTGATTAAGCGAATCCGATACGATGAGAACACGAAGTGTGTGAAATTAAGTAACATGTCGAATATCGTGAAAAGGTAAGTCGCATATACTTTATAATTATCATTGTCTTGCCGTCATTGTCTAATTAGATGTTTGGTTTATTTTGATTTTTTGTTTTTTATTTTTTTCGTTTTTTTTTGTGGGTTACTTGAGTTACTTTTATTTTGATTGCAAAATATAATTTTGATTTGTACATTGTGTTTTAGTTGGGTTGTACGAGGCGAAGTGTCATCAGTTTCATCAATTCGATTATGTACAGTCGGAAAAGTTGAAAAATCGGTGTTCAATTTCGAATTACGTGACGACACTGGGGTGATACGTGCTACGGCGTATGGTACAACTGCAGATGGGATTCACGATAAGCTGCAGGTAGTATTTCACTGTAATAACTACATTACAAGTTAAAGTCATTCAATTATGTTTTTTAATTATAGAACGGAATGATTATGCAGTTGCATAATTTCAAAATAAAAGCTGTTAATCCTGCATTTAATTCAACTGGCAATGAATATGAAATAGAAGTTGACGAACGGACATTTATACGTGAAGTGACCGATTGCCCTACTGTCGAAGAAAAAAAATCGTTACCTTTCACTGAATTTCACGACGTACAATCGAGCACTGACACTGACATTGCTATTAGTAAGTATTTCATGTATGTGGTTTGTGTATGAATATATCATACATGTAATATCCCTTAACGTAATTTCATATATGAATGTTTTTGCTGTTTCAGATGTAGTAGGTATTATAAAACGCGTTGGCGATATAAAGGAGCTTCAGTCAAAATCATCAGCTAAAACATTGAAGAAACGCGATGTGATTTTGATGGACGAAAACAAAAATACTGTGCGTAATTACTTGATATTTGTAGTAATGGTTATACATTTTTAACTGTGTTATAAATTTTTTGTTACAGTGTGTAGTCACCATGTGGAATGATGATGCAGTAGACTGGAAGTACGTGCCCCGTGATATCATTACCATCACTGGGGCAGGAATCAATGAATTTTGCGGATTTAATTCCGTGAAGCTGTACCGCACGTCGGTCATCATTAAAGATGCAGCGAATGCAAAAAGTGTAATGTACGTATATTTTGTAGGTAAACGCTAAAATGTGTAAATTTAATAAATGTTGAAGATTAATTATAAATAATTATTATGTTGCAGGTTGAAGGGTTTATTAGATGAATTAATGCCACAGCTTTAGTCCAACAAAATGTTATGAAGTCTTAGGGTGTTATTCTTATGTTGTTACTGCGTGTCATTATTAGTGTATATATGAAATTTATACATGAATTATGATCTGTTATTGTATTATTATTATTACATGAGTATGTTGTATTACATATGTATGTTGTATTGTTTAATTAATATGTATTATTATATTATTGTATTACAATATAATGTCAGTATGTACGACATTTTATTGTTAATAAATACCGTATGTTTAAAAAAAATTTGTTAAGTGCGCTGTTGTATGTAAAAATTTTGAATTAGTTGAATGATTGTGTAAACCGTAGATTGATTTCGAAAATTATGTCTAATATGCGCTAATTTTTCTATTGTACGTGATGCGTTGTTTTTGTAAGTGAAATGTTTTGATACAATACGATATAATGGTATTTTGTAACACATTGTTATGTAGTGTTGCAAATAATGTGTAATGTATTACGTCGTATACACGAAAAATAAAGCACTGTTATTTATAATGAATTATATAATGTATTTTTTATTAAGTTGCAAATACGACGTAACGTTTGCTGTTTGTTTATTATCAAATTATTAGAGTTGCTGGTATACGTTGAGCGCTTGGTATTTGCTCAAGGTTATATATATTTGAGATGTGCGTGAAATACATGCATTTTACGTAAAGCGTATGTGTGTGCGCGAAGTAGTCAATAAATGGAAGATATGTCGTGTTTCGTCGCAAACGTGCAAGCACGTATATTACACGTATCGTACACATACAGATACACAGTACACTCGTAAACACAGACACGTTTCGAGATAGGCACACGGGCATCGGTTCGGTTGTCTTGTTTGCATTTGCTACCGATCGTTGAACTCGAAAACGAACTGCGGCGAGACGATTCCTTTTCTCGTTCTATTATGAGTTTCTTACATAGCACAGAACGTACGTCGCGTCAACGAATTATACGGCGCTAATTACATGAAATACGTCCAAAGCTTATTGAAAGCGGGTCCGTTTACCATAAGATTCGCATTGTTCGCTCTGGACTTGTACGTTCGTTGAAGGTTGCTTAGTATGATTAAAGGTTTACTTGAGTGCTCATGTGCTGTTAGTGTTATGCATTTGATCTTGAAATAACAAATATTATCGGTGATTTTTATAGACTATACGATATATACATTTGGTGCTTTTGATTGACTTTGTACTTAATTAATAATATTATTACATTGAGAAGTAGAGGTGGGTACAAGTGCACTACTCAATACATTACATTTAGTATATTATACGCATTGAATCATTTATGATATGTATCACACATATTTAATCCATAATGCAGTATTGCAATATATTTGTTATTTGACGTAGATACGATAAAGTCGTATGAATAATTAATATTATATTGAATGTCGCTTAACAGAATCACGGTTGTTAGTATATGTCATCACAATGGCGAAAAATCTCCAATACATTTACTTCTGTATCCTTGTACGTTCGATTGTACGTTCAATTATGCTCACCGTGAGATCTTGTTATGCAATGATTATATTGCAATGATTTGCGAATATATATATTATATAAGCGCGTCCAGAATTAGTCGGCTGCCCCGCACGATTACGGCATTTTTGGATAATATGAACAATTTTATCAATAAGTAATTTAGTTTTTTAGTTCAAACGAATTATATACGGTTGAAAGCGAGGTTTTCTGCTAACTTTACACATGATAGATATCTCGGTACATTATACTACTAATTAAATTCACTGTCTTGTATTGTGAATTTTTTATTTTCTTGGTGCTTCTAGCACTATTGAGCGTAGCATAGATAAGCCAAACTTGTGTTTAGTAGTTGAAGGATACTTGACCGTAAATTGAAATAACGAGAAAGGTCAACTGCATATTTGACACTGTTACGTTATTCATACACATAATTTATTATTTATGCGATATAGTAGTTCTTTAATGGCACGACAAAAATTTAATTTGTTTTAAAAGTAGTAGATTTTTCACTGTTACATATATTCAATGGCTCGGACCTAAAAGGCTAGCATGAACGTGCGTAAAACCCGACTTCTGCTTTTATTATGCGCGTGCTCACACAGGCACACACATATCCACATGCTTTACTTTATACCAGCGTATGTATGTTGAGAAAAAAAACGTACTGACATTCATAAAAAATAGAATCCAAATGTATCAGATTGTTTCATAACAAGTCTGCGCGCACTGACCCACACTCATTAATCTCGATTTATGTAATATTTCTTATCAGTTCTCCATCCTAGATAACATCGTTTTCTAGAGATTTTGGCCTCCTCTTTCGCTTGGTCCAGTTTATTTTGAATTCGTAGAATACATATTGTAGATTAATCGACTTAAACACTCAAGTCGAATTTTGAACGCAAAATCAATTTGTAAGATTTTTTTAGTTATACCACCAGAGAGAAGAAGAAAAATTATATCGATCAATATGTTTTAATTTTTTCTCAAACTGTTGCTAAACTTTCCCGAGCTACGTAAGTATACGACACTTTCGGCCAAAAATGCCGTAATACTGGACACGTTCAAATGCGAGTTGCTACTAAAAAACGTATATTTATGTTGAATATTTAATTACGCAGAAATAAAAAACTGTAACTTTTGAAGTGATTCTTTTAAGATGCAACTACTTTTATATTAACGTAAATGACTCAAATGTGTATATTTAATAATTGACTTGATCAATTTTTTTTTAATTACGTCAATCTTACAACGTCAATCTTAAATTTTGGTTCGCAGCAAAAGATACTTTGAACACAATGCCAACCGTCAAACGGAAATCCGCAAAAACCAGGAGAGCGATTAATAAGCAATACCAACCAATTAGAAAGGCGAAGGCTACTATTAGACCGTTTTCTAATAATAAGAGTCTCCTGAAACTAACTGCAACACAGATTCGCGCTGGTAAAAAATTTGATGTGTTAATTGCAAAAATTGTATGGAACTCGTGCGTTAATTGTACTAGGTCGTTTCCTGGTATGAAATTATATAACGATTATTGTTCTTTGTGTAAAAGCCCTGATCATAGGCAATATTACACCGCTTTCAATAACATGGATCCTGGTGAAATACCGACAGAATTACAAGACCTAACTTATATAGAGCAAATGCTAATATCGCGTGTTCATCCTGTTGTATCTCTGTATCGAATCAATGGTGGCTAGTATGCGTACTCTGGTAGTGTGATTAATTTTACGCAAAATATTCACGAGTACATTGACACTTTGCCGTTGAATGTAGAAGAATTAACATCTACTATTTTGTTCAACAGAGATACTGCACAGGGAGTTGCACAATTTCGAGTGCGCTCTGATAAAGTACTTCGTGCGTTGTGTTGGTTGAAACGGCATAATATTTATTATAGAGATATAAATATTTCTTACGAAAATTTAGATAAATTGCCAAGCGATGGTCAAATCGTGAGCATGTTGGTAAATATGAATATTGACGAATCTATTGAGACAGTTGAAAGCGATGATTCGATTGAGCTCGATGAACACTACATAATCAATGTACAAAGCGCGGACCAGGAGCAGTATATTAATAAAGAATTACAACTTCCATATCCCACATGTGAGAAGAAACCATTGAACGAATTTGAAAGTGAAGGGTACATAGCGTGTGCATTTCCTGCCTTATTTCCGTATGGAACTTGTGACTTTTTGCAAAGTAGGATCCACAGTATTACGTGTCTCAATTATTTCAAATTTCTAATGTGTTACAAAGATGGAAGATTTGCTAAAGATCCTAGGTTTAGATATTTCGCACTCAATACTATCTTGCGACACAATGCCATAACACAGTCGAATTTGTATGTGAAAAAATTTAAGTTGTCGGGTCTTACAATTCTCGAATTACAAGATATGATTAAAAAGGATAGCTCAAAATTGGCGAATATTATGGTGCATTGCGCACGGATTAAATCTACCAAGAGTTATTGGTCGAGAAGATATAGAGAATTAACGAATATGGTTGATCAAATAGGTGAGCAATTACAACATTATATATTTATTGGAAATTATATAATTCGATAGCCTAAGAGAGTCCATTTCATTTTTAGAACTATAATTATGTGATTTCCGTTATAACTATTATAATTTATATAATTAATCCATCAAATTCAACATGAGTACTAGTTNATATCGACACTGTACATTTCTTCTACGCTATTATCAGCGACGGTCATACACACCACGCTTAGAATAATACGCGAAGCAGTGATAACCTTAGCAAAACAATTAAATACCTGCCGGAGTTTACAATTTGTTCATTAAAATACAAACAATATCTTTCATTTCCAGGATTTTTTCGAGGTTTCGAGGCAAAGTGGTGTGTATAACACCGCTACAAGAAAACTTCGTCGACGGAGAAGTTCGACAGTCATTTACTTTTGACGTTAAAAATAATGCAGGCCTACGAATACGTTGTACTACGTTAAATGACTTTGCCAAAAGATGTGCAAGATGTCTCAAGGTAACTTATTTATATTTATTTTAAGCTATTTCATATTGTAAAATAATAAATATATACTGTTTACTTACAGCCTGGAATCGTCGTGTCGATGCGTAACATTTTTGTGCGTTCAACGACAGAATGGGACCATATAAGTAATCATTATGAGGCTATCGTTAACGAAACCGCCACATTGAGATGTGTACAAGTTTTGTAATTGTTATGTAAGTTTTGTTGTTTGTTATTTGTTGTTAATTGTTGTTTTTTATTTACATAAACAATAACAATTTTTTTCGTTCGTTCAATATGTTATTCTTTATGTTTTCTATACCAGTTATATAAATGAATATGCATTCATTAATTATTTATATATTGTAACAAAGATTTATATATTCGAAATATATTCGAATATATCTTCAAATACTATACTATAATTGAATACAATGTTAGTATGTACGACGTATTATACTATACTATACTATAATTGAATATAATGTCAGTATGTACGACATTTTATGGTATTTTGT